TCTTTGCCTAAAAAGCCGGCATTCAAAAGTAATAAATGGCATACTCGGACAACATCAATGTCATCCATCCGAGTAAAATCATCTTTAAGAAGTAATCTTTTCAAATCATCGACGTGTAAACTGGGCTTCGCCTTTTCCAGCTTAGAAGAAACCCGAAATAACCATGATGAGCGGGCGATATGACTAGTGTACCGACCTACTTCATCGTGTCATCCGAAACATAGACCAGTGATTAAGCAAAACTCCTCCCGCCCAAAACAAGTATACGTCGGTGGAAAATAAAACCATATCTCTTCATCACCACGTTGTATCCTCTCGGGTAGATCGTTAGTCATGGTCTGAAGAAACAAATAGGTTAACATAGCATCTCCACCTGGATGTTGTACTTTCAGCCATGACCCGAAACAAGTATTCTCAAACAAATTTCTTTGTACAGGTGTAAGTGTCGACGCAATTGTAGTGGCTAGGGTTAATTTATTTCTTAAAGTCAATGAAGCCGAAAAAAATTCCTAACAAAAACAATAAACATACCAAGTTAGATATACCAAAAACTACAAATTATACACTATAAACAGACATGATATTAAACAGGGAAAATATAGCCAAATATGTTTCAAACTAGCATGGTATTCACCCAAGTCATTATTTTATCATAGTTCATAAAATGCATCAGATAACATTCCAGAAGTAAGCACATATATAAACATTTAAAAGAACAACATATAGGTTTAATGCAGGTTCAAGGACAACATAAAGAGTAGTAGTTTATTCTTGAAACTTAAATTCGCAACACTGTAAAGTTAGTATTTGGCTTTGTTTTTTGGTTGAAGTAATGCAATTCATTCAAGTTTCAATTTGCAGAAGAAGAGTAGTTTTTGAAACTTAAATTCGCAACACAAAAATGAAATTCACAATACGAAAATAAAATTCGCAACGCAAAAATGAAAATCGCAACGCGAAACTAAAACCACGTTGTGATTTTCATTTTCTTGTTGCAATTTTCGTGTTGCGAATTTTATTTTCGTGTTGCGAATTTAAGTTTCAAAAACTATTCTTCTGCAAATTGAAACTTGAATGAATTGCATTACTTCAACCAAAATACTAACTTCACAGGGTTAAAGACTAAACAGTTTAGCAGTATTGGCAGCAACCGATTGAATTTACTAAGCAATCTAAGTGAAATGGTTAATCTATATATTTAAATTATTGAAATTACCAGTAAATTTATCATCAATTTAAATATGAAAAATCTAATAATAATACACAAATTTCAAAATAAAAATAATTAAAAAAAACTAACTATCGGTGGTTGATTTTCCATTTGTGGCCGTGAATGGTTGTGAGAGGGTGGCTCTGAGAGATGGAAATAGAGGGGGTCGCCGGATATAGGGATGGATGTCGCCGGAGATGGGGACGGATGTCGTCGTAGAGAGTGAGAGACGGAGATGAGATTGAGTTGTGATTTAAGGTTTTAGGTTATGAGTTGCGATTATACTGTTTACATTTGTGTTGCGAAATTAATATTGTGTTTCGAATTCGAAAATAAAATTCGCGTTGTGAAAATAAACGCGCTTTACGAATTTGACTTCTGTGTTGCGAATTACAAATTCGCATTGCGATTTACAAATTTGTGTTGCGATTTACATATTCACGTTGCGAATTTCAAAACTGAGTTGCGAATATGGGAAATTCGCGTTGCGAATTTGGAAATTGTGTTGCGAAATTGGAGTTTGCGTTGCGAATTTGTTGATCATTTTCGCAAATCCAAAACAAGTTGGTTAAAATCGTATATTATAAGACATTTTCGGTCACTGAAGTTATTTTTTCTAATCTAAAACACTAGTAACTCCAACCACAGATTCAATAGATCCTTTACAAAAGATAAGAAGATCATCAGCAAAAGAAATATGAGTTAAGCCTATTTTTTTGCATTTTGAATGGTAGCCAAACATACTTCTAGCAGCTGCCAAGTTAAGGATTCTTGAGAGAACATTCATAGAAAGAACAAATAAGAAAGGAGAGAGGGGGTCTCCTTGTCTTATACCTTTTGCACCCTTGAAGTAGAAAATCAAACTCCCATTAAAAGAAATAGAGTATCTAGCTGTTGAGAAACAAACTTCAATCCATCCTATAAAAGTTCTTAGAAGTCCTATAGCCTTTCTTTGATCCAGCTAAAGCCACTTTTGCAATATCCTTTACTGGCCTACCCCTACTTCGTTTAGGAATAGAGGGTTGGATAACATCTTTACCATCAATTTTTGCTACTGTGGATTCAGTATTTATATGCTCTTCCCAACAGCAGAATCATTAGACTCTATAGCAGCTTCTTTACTTCCTGTTACTACACCAGCATCATTTTGACTTTGCTCCTCTATAGCTTTAGGAACGGGTAGCTCCTTTTCCCACATGGCCTCTATGCCTCCAATAATTAAATCAACTACACTAGCATTCAAATGTTCTTCTTTCTTTTTCCAAACCTGTGATTTAACCGGAGCAGAATTTTTTAGCTCCATACAGCCCTTTTCACTATGACCAAAGACTTTACATTTCCTACAACAAGATGGAAGCCAGGGAACCTCAACAGTAATCGAAGTAGCTAACCCATCCTTTAGGACAACATCTATATAATTAGGTATTTCATCATTAACTCCTATTTCAATGCAGATTTTAGCATACTCTAATCGCGATTTGGAAGCTGTAACATAATCCATTGAAAGAGAAATTCCTATGGCACTCGCAATGTAGCTTGATCCAACTTGCGAGAAGAGTTCCATAGGCACATTATAAAGGTGAACTCAAACTGGAATTCTAGATAAGTCGAAGTTTAATCTTTTCAAGTTCGGTTCCCATTTCCTAAGAGGTTTATTTTGGGTGTGCCATGGTCCATTTTCTACCCAATCTCTAGCAGACTCATAATTAAAAGAAAAAACATACAAATTACTCCCTGCTAAGCTCACCTGAACTCGATTACCCATCAGAGCCTTCTTCCACAAATTATCCACTATTCTTTGCATAGTTGCAAAGTTTGGAGCAGCCCCAAGGAATTGCCCCACTAAAGAGAGCTCCCATTCTGAAATTCCAGCTTCAAAGACCTCAGCCGGAGGTTGAACCGTCAGAATCCCATCACGAAACCTAGGGGAAAAGTATTCTAAATCTTTCCCTACTATTCACCCAAAGAGCTTCCTCCAATCCATCGAGCTTTCACTCATAATGAAAAGATGTGCCATATTATTACTATTTTTTTATACATATTGCTTGGTCAAATTATCAAAATTTAATCTGAGCTAAAGTCATTTAAAAACAAATTTTGAAAAAAAATTATATTTAATAACTAAAAATTATTTTATTCGCATGAAGCAAACGACATCAGTGATAAATAAATTGTTGTTATTCCTTGAGGTCTCGATTTCGAACACCAAAAATACCAGGAGTGTGAAAGTTTAATGTCCGATATAATATCCATGAGTATATTGATATGATTTTAGTATTAATTTAATATATTAACAGTTAACATTTTTTTTCAAAAAAATATTTGTTTAATGCAAATCAACAATAATGTGGAATCACAAGATCCGGATCATCAAATTAAATGAGTAAAATCCGTGGAATAAATCCGTTTTGTTTTATGATGGATGTCATGTCTTGCACGAGAAATGAAATGACATAGATAAGAAAATATAGGTAAAATTGTTCTATCGGTACTTACCACCTGTGAAAGTTATAGAGTTACCCCTTGTATTCTAGATTAGCCATTTTTAATCTTTATAACTATTAAATTTTGTAATTTTATTTTGGGCCAAATAATAGTTATAAAATTTGTTTAGTAACTGTATTACGCGTAAACTATAGATTTAGTCATAATTCTAAATGTATATAATCTAGTCATTTAAAACTCGGATCACTATTGAAATATCAAACTTGAAGAGTACAAAAGTTAAATGAAACGTAAGTTAGAGTATAAATATTAAATTCTTATCTTATACATAGTATAAAAATTAATGGACTAATGACAAAATTCGGTAAAGAAAATATTTTTATCTCCATAAGAAAAGGTAGTTATGGTATGATTAAGGATGGACTGAGGGGCGCTGGGAGTACGGTCGTACTCTTTGAAAATCTCTTGTATTTTAAGTTTTTTCTTTGTATTTTCTATTGATTATCTAACTTTATATATTCCAAAATTTTATAGCTTCGAACTCATAATTTTTTTTAATATAATCTCTTAAGTTCGCATTCTCTAATATAAATTTATGTGTCTATACATGGTATGACGATGTGGACGCGTAACCAAAGTACGAATCTTCATTTTTGAAGAGATTGATATATTACGTGCAATACTTAGCTAGTATCAGCCGATACAAGCCAAAGCTGTTCATCAAGGTTGTTCGATTACTTAAATTACAAGTATTGCTGGTGCCGAACATGGAGAAATCACCATTGTTTTTTGTTTATTGAAATACCAAACCTGTTAGATTCGAAAGAAGTAAAATAGTTTGTAAATAAACATAACATTCAATTAATAAACGAATATGAATAAAATATTTATGTTCATTTAATAAATAAATAAAAATATATTGGATTCGTTTATATTTACAAACAAACTAGTTTATCAAATTGTTTACAAGTCCATTTATTTGGTTCTCTTTTTTTTTTTACATTTTAAATATTTTGGTGAGACTATATTTAACTTAAAATAAATTTTAGAATTCAAGGACTAATGACGTGATTTCACCAATATATTTGCAAACCCTAAATAAACATATTAATAAGCATATTCTCGAATGTTAGGCGAACATATTTACGAATATTAAATATGTTAACAACGTTAAACAAAACAAATCGAACACACATCTTTCGAAATAAACAAACCAACATGATCTGGTAAGCGTGAACAGCAGCGATTCATTGGAAACTACTATTAGAAGCTTGAGGTGAGTAGATTTGAAGTTCCAAATTAAACAGCATCACAAGCAGCACTGGGATAATAGGGTACTGTTGTGATCAACCCGAATTAAGATACAGTTCCTAGGAGTTGCATAAGGAGGTAACATACAAATACTCGTATCCCTCCCAAGATATACATTAAGAAAACGACCCTTTATTCAAAAAATATTCAAGGTCGATTCAACCATGCAATGGCTTTCACCATCCTCCTCTCTAAGAACCACCGCCAGATGAATGTGCATTCAGCCTATCAAGCACGGCGTTAAAATCCACTGGCTGCCCGCTCTCCTCCATCCTCTGGATCACACTGGCAACATGCTCACCCCTGAAACCCATGCTCGCTAATTTTTCAATCAGATCATTGTAAGGATGATTGTGAACATACTGTGGATGGCCAGGGTTCCTAATGCTAGGTTGAGTCTGAAGAGGGACACTTGCAGGGGGATAGCCCCCCTGTGAGAAGTGATGCTGTTGGGACAGGTGATGTGTTCTACTCCCTTCACTACCATACATCATGTATGTAGTTCCTGGAGGAAGAGAGGGATGGAGGCCGCATGCCTGATACCCATCCCTTGGTTGTGCTTCAAAATTACACTTGATTTGCTCCGGAGGTGTTCTGCCAGGCACTCCATACCCATAAGGAATGGTATCGGCTCGACTAGGCACAGGTTGAGGAACTCCAGAATATGGAACCTGCATAGGGATGCTGCGCGGTAATGCCTCGGGAGGAGTTGGGTTCGAAGATTGTGTAGGAGGGTAGGGAGGGTAAGCTGTTGTTGATGGAGGCCTCATCGGTGGTTGCATAGAGGGCTGCTGCTGCTGCTGTACTTGCTGTGGTGGTAATTGTTGTGGCCACTGCTGCGGATACCGAGGGAATGTCGGGGCAGGAGGTACCTGATGGGTCTGTATGTGAGAAGTTTGGTATTGTTGATCAGGAGGCAAATATCGACTTTGAGTGTGTTGGGTTGGTGCTGGAGCTGGAAGCGAAGGTTGGGTAACCGCAGGTGCAGGTACAGGGGCTGGGGCTAGGACCAAAGCAAGAGTGAGAGCTGGAGTTGGGGCAGGGGGGTTGGATAATTGGTTTGAAGGTAGATAATAGGATTGTTGGGTCAAATTCTGAGCCGGGGCTTGAGTGTGTGGCACCACAGACTGTTGTGGTGGTGCAACTTGATGTGGAAGAGCAAGAGCTAATTGCTGGCTTTGCATCTCGGTTATGTGGTCACTCTTTTTAGAATCAGAGGCAGGCGGTGATGCTCTCTCCTCTGCGGATTGTGAATAGTTGGAAGAAGTAAAATCCTTGTGAACAAGTTGTAATTTAGCCAACTCCTTTTGAGTCTCAGCAAGCTCCTGCTTATCTCTTAGTATCTGCACAGACCTGTGAACCTACAAAGAGGATTCAATGCTTGAGAAGTAAGTTTCCGGAATCAAATGGGATGGCTCCAACACATGTAGACCAAGCCATCTATATAGACAGCAAGAGAAGAAGGTAACAAACAAGGTGATGGGACTGAAGTTGAGGTTGAGGGTACAAATGTGGAGTACCTTATAGCCAACGAATTGGTGAAATCCACCTTATCAGAAAATATATGATGTTCTCAGGATACTCACCTCTTGGAGATGTTTCTCAATAGATTTGAGCTTTGAATCAGCGTCTACATTATCACGAACTAAATCAGATCGCATTTCTCCAATTGATTTATCAAGATTGTAGCAATATAACTCCAACTGCGACAATCGTGAACTTATTCCCACAAGAAAGCGCATGAGGTTGTCCGCATACTTTTTCATGGTTTTATCAACAGTAGCAGTAACATCCAAGTAAGAATCGTCTGGTTGACTGTATGCAATACGTGGGAACATTGATCGCGCCACTCCACCCTTGTGAAAATCCTGCAGAGGTCAGTGCGAGAACAATATTAAGTATATACTCTTGAAGTCAAAGGCACCAACACATACCACTAGCATGGCAGTGGCCAAAAAACGAAGAAGAAGAACCGTAGCTCAATTTTCCCTACAATAAATGGGACATTAAAGAAGATCAAAGGCTCAATCCAATAACATGAGCATGTGGCCTTTTCTAGGGTTGGTATTTTTTTCTCTAGGGAACTACAAAGACAAATGCTTTGGATCAAGCACTGAAATGCAATAAAGATATATACTATGGTAAATAAAACCCCCAAATGATGAATTTTACCTCCATGGCCACCGACAACTACAAAACCACATATCAAAGGCTGAATCTTTCAAAACTCTAGCATGTGATTAATGTTGAGTGCCGATTCGATTCAAAAAGGGTAATTCACTTTTTGATCAAAACACATTCTCCAAAATTCAAACCTAAGAATACTATATAAATAGCACAAATGGAATATAATATGCATAACTAAGTTCAATAAAGCTTCTCACTACTCCATTAAAGAATGAACTTCAGTCCAACAACAGGTTTTACTCCCTGCGTTATATAGAATATGAAAGCTCACTTGTATAAGGGACTGTAAATAAGAGAAAGACGAGCCAAATCACGAACTACTCAAGGCCAAAACTCGATCAGCAGTTGAATCAAATGGACTCGACTAAGCTCAAACTCAACTTGAGTTATTAATGACCCGAAACAAGCTACTTAATCCCTGACTCGACGAAAAAATAATATACTAATTTTTTTTTGTAAATTAAAATTATTAATAATATTTATAAAATATACTTATACAATATAAGGTTTTGGTTTTCATGTACTTATGGATCAAGTTTTCAGCTCGAGTTGGAGATTGAGCCGAACTCAAGTTTCAATATCAAACGAATTAAGTCTGAGAATATTTCGGACTCAAGATTTTTCAAGCTCGAATCGAGCTTAAAATTTTGATTTGATCGTAGACTTTCAAGTCGAGTTCAATTTTGAACTTTTCGAGTCCAGCTCAGCAATAGTCGAGCTCTACCTTAATCATGTATACACTCAAATCTTCCTAAAATTACAATTATTTCCAGTGCAAGTTAATACATTTTCTCACACCTACATCCCAAAATCGGATCACCAGATTATAAAAAAAAAGGCCCTCTTTGTCAAATCAACCTCTCCATAGAACCCTAATCGGATCAAATATCCCTTCCCACTAAAAACAAAAGAAAACCCTATATATATATATAAGCAACAACAGATACCTTGCTGGAGCTGCTGGTGGTTGTACCGATTGCAGTTTCGGCGTGGTTGCCATTAGACAATCCCTGGTTCCCGTAATCCTCATAAGAGCAAAGAATATCATCGGACCCAAAATCGAACCCTTTGGAACCACCCGAGTTGCCCCGACCCGAAAACCCAGAAGCCATTTTCCCTGAGAACGAAAGAAACAGACCTACCACAAATCGAAACAGCGAAATTAGTTATCTGGAGATATATATCTAAAGAGGTTACAGTGAAAAAAAAAAGATTTTAGGGCTTTTATTTATACCGGGTAAAGAGGATTAAAATAGAATCGAAAACAAAGATTGTGATTGAAGCTTGAACTGACTTGTTTACAAAGAAAAGGAAGGGAAATTTCTTTGAAGCTGTAGGTTGTTTTTGTGTTGAAATTTGTGGAAAACGGAGAGGGAAGTGGAGAAACGTTTAAAAAATGGGTTTTTTATTTGTCGAAACGTGAAGGATGATGATCTGGTCCTTCCTTCTGCCTCTACATTTACTATTTGGATCTCTTTACTTCCAACACGCAAGTAAAATATTACCTACCAAATTATCATGGTTTTTATTAGCGAGTCGTTCATGTTATCGATTTATTAGATTAATCAGTTAAATTGATTTGATCGGTCGGAAGAATCGGACGACGTCATAATTATTTAAAAAATTAAATAAAAATACTAAAAATATTTAATAAAAATAATTTTTTATATCATAAGTCATATTCAAAACAATTCATAATATATATAAGTTAAACAACAACAACAAAACCCAATTCCCATATGTATGGGGTAAGGGGGAGGTAGGGTAGTAGGCTACCCCCAACGCCAGGTTGAGAGTAACTTCCGTGGAAGACCTCCGGCAGTCAGAAAATTAAAAAATTTAGATAAAATGCAATGCATGTATAAATAAATACATAAATACATAGTTAAACAGTATTCATATGCAGTCATTAAAATCATATGTGCGTCTGTAACAGGAATTAATCCCTGCATAATTATCCCTGCGAAAGAATCTCTGCATATAGACATAAACATAAGATAAGATCCGGCTAAATTTAAAAGAGGAAACATGAAGAGAATGATATACAGAAGTCAACGTTAGCAAGCCCAGTTCTAATCCTTCATAAATACCAATAACAGAAACGTATAAAAAGTATAAGTCATGGAAAATACTACAAAGACATTAAAAGAAGACAGAGATGATACACCCTATAGATGTGACCCACACTACTCCACTACCCTAGTCTTTAGCCTCCATATTTTCCTATCAGAGGTCATGTCTTCGGTAAGGGCTAAATCCCTCAAATCAGATCTCAAGCAGTCTTCCCACTTTCGCCTTGGTCGTCCTTTCCTTCTGGCACCGTCGACTGTAATCGACTCTACCCTCCTTACCGCATCCGACGGTAGTCGCCTAAGGACATGCCCAAACCACCGTAGTCTTCCCTCCCTCAATTTTTCGGAAACAGACACCACCCCCAAGGACATCCTAATAGCAGAGTTTGTCGTCATATCCCTCATAGTCTTACCACATGTCCATCGAAGCATTCTCATTTCTGCGGCCTCAATCCTCCTTACGTGATCCTTCTTGGTTGCCCAACATTCTGATCCATACAACAGCGCTGGTCTTATTGCCATTCTATAGAATTTTCCCTTAAGTTTTAGAGGGACCTTCTTGTCACACAGAACTCCAGTAGCGGCCCTCCACTTTAGCCATCCCGCCTTTATACGGTGTGTAACGTCATCATCTACACCCCCATCTTTATGTATCATAGACCCTAGGTACTTGAAACAATCCTTTGAGGGGAGAACGTGTCCTTCTATGCATATTTCTACATCTTCATCGTTTTGGTTCTCATTGAAGTTTGAACATAAATACTCTGTCTTTTCAATATTGATCCTTAAACCTTTTTCTTCCAAAGCAGTCTTCCAGGTAGCCAGTCTACTATTAAACAAAATAATTCAAATTAACTACAATATAATATTTAAGGTAAAACATATTAAATAATAAATATAATTATATAACTATAATAAAAAAATAAATTTGGGGCTAAAAAATCATAACAAAATGAAATTGTTTGGTTTAATTTTTTTAAAAAAAAGAATCTCATATTACTAAGAAACATAGAAGAGCATCTCAACTAACTTCTATAAATAATAGAGGTAATTTGATATTCAAAATCATGTAGCCTTTCGGTGAGCATAGAGTGAACTATTCTTTCACTTCAATCAAGCTCGAATTTTAGGCTTCAATCGAGCTTCTAATTTTTTTTTTGAGTTCGAGTCTTTTCGAGTTCAAGTTTTAATATTATATTTCGAGTTCGAGTTGAACTTGATAATTTTTAGCTCGTGAGTTTGAGTCGAGTTGAGCTTACTTTTAAAGTTTTCAAGTTCAAGTCAAGCTTAGCAATACTCGAGTTCGACTCGACTCGTTTAACAAACGACGTCGTTTGGTTTAATTTAAAAAAAAAATTGGCAGTTCAACCGGTTCACGGTACGGCCCGGTTCGAACGGTTCAGTGGTTCCGTCTGATTCAGTAGTAACGGTTTAACCGGATTACAATGAACCAGACCAGACAGCGGTTCCGGTTGAACCGGCCGACCTGATACGGTCCAATTTTCAAAACACTGCAAATTATCCATACACTATATGGTGCTATATAATTCCATTTTTTATTCCAAATTTTATATTTATTATCGATCAATTATTCTAATATATTATTACACGAATTAAGTTACCTCAATGATTATTAGAATCATTGTTGTTCTTAGAGGTCATAGGTAGGGATGAATATGGGTCGAGTTTCGGCCAACCCGACCCGACCCGAAAATTTTACACCCTTCACCCGCTCTGACCCGACCCGAAAAATATATACCCTTCACCCGACCTAAATTCGACTCGACATTTTGAGATAAAATCCAAACTTGATTCGACCATACCCGAAATAATAATAAAAATAATATTTTTATTCAATAAAAACAATGATTTAATTGAAAAAAAAAATAATATATATAGGGGTATTATTATAATTATTCCTAAATATATAAAGTAAAATTATATTTTTTTCGGGTCGGTTTGGGTCGGGTATTTTTCACCCTAAACCCGAATCCAACCCAACCCTAACATCACCTTTAAAAAATCCAACCCGACCGACCTGAATCCGAAATTAAAAAAAATGGACTCGATTAGGTCAGGTCCAGGTCTCATGCCCATCCCTAGTCACGGGTTTAAGATTCTGGAATCAGATTTTATTATATCTCAGATAGAAGATTAACATCCAACTCAGATTACCGTCGATTTTTTAATAAAAAATGACTAATTTGGAACTTAATAAATAGTTTGTTAACTATTTTATAACTTTTAATAGTCAAAGGACTCGATAAAATAATATCTTATAATTGAATATCATTTTGTAATTTTTGATAATCGGATGACTCAACAAAATAACATCTTATAATCGAATGATTATTTATGTACTTCATTAGTCAATTAATGTATTAAATATTATATTATAAAAAAATTGTTAAAATAAATATGATTGTCCCTTGTTCCCATATGTAATGGGATAAGGGGGAGGTAAGATAGTAGGCTTCCCCCAACACCAGGTTGAGAGCAGCTTCCGTAGAAGACCTTCGAATTATAAAATGTCCTCCGTAGGACTCGATCTCACGACCTCAAAATTAAGAATCTTATGCTCTACCAACTAAGCTGGATAGTCTCATCATTTTGTTTCTATGATCATTATCTTATGTTATCTTCTGCATCTTATTTATACTATAATGGATAGGTGATGCTTCAATACTTATTTGTTTAATCGTTCCTACTCCAGTGAGTATCTCTCACCACATATCATGTATGAATTAAAAACTAATATAATCAAGTCCACAAATTATTTAGAAATTCAAGGAATGGCCCAAGTGGCAAAAGATGGTTCCTTTGATTTTTTTTTTTATAAAGTTAAAGGGATTATAAATGAATATTTATTTTAAATACTCTCAACTATTAGGTAATGAACGTTTAAATCACTCCGCTGCAATTGTTGATACTCAAACCCGTGCTCTTTAAGAATAATAATGTTTCCTTTAACCACTAAGATAAGTTGGTTTATGGTGTTCATTTGATTTGATTTGATTTAGCTTCATTTTAAAGATAGATTTTGACGATTCGATTGCGGTTTTGGAATTCACTACCTTAATAATGATATAAAAGTTTAAGGATTAATATAAGAAGAAGTGTTCAAATTATATTACCTTTTATTTAGGTGTTTGAATTGTTTTAGTCAATCTAGGTGTTCAATGTTTTCAATATTATATTTTTAGGTGCTTTGGTCATAACAGTCGTTAATTTTTACCAATTAAGTGATGCATGTCATTTTAAGTAATTTTAAAAATTTTATTTTTAAAAAATATAACTTATTAAAATTTTATGAAGATAATATGTGTCATTTAAATGACAAAAAAATAACCGTGATAAATGTTCATATACCTAAAATGATAATGTAAAAATATTAGGCACTTGAATTTACCGAAAAATAGTCCATGCATTTAAATGGAAAAAAGTGCACAATTTATAGACTTGTTTTTATATTAAGTCAAAGTATAATTATTATTTTATAATTATTATCTTTAGAGGTTTTAGGTTCGAGCATCAAGACTATAAAGATGTTTAAAATTAAATGGTTAAAAATATTTATAATATGATATTTAATCATATATATATATATATATATATTATACAAACAATTAATTCAAAATTTAATTATAAAATTCTTTTTCGAACAGTGAAAACTTACAAATTGAAGACACTTAATTCCGTCCAAATTATAATATATATATATATATATATTATATAATATATATTATATAATATTATAAATTATAATTACAATTTTATTTTTATTTTGTACAGGCCCATCACCCGTGGCCCAAACACACATCCAACCCACGACCCAACAATAAAACCCTAGGCAAATTAGGGTTGTTGTTATTCCAGCAACTGTTCAGCGGCGCCGCAACAGCCAACCCAGGCTCCCTCACGTAGCACGTCTCCCTCTTCACATCTCCTCACGCCACACGCAACCGGGAATCTCGGCAACCGCCAACAACCCACAAAGATCTCGTATGCATAACCAACAAATAACGGAGTTAGAGTTTTAATAGGACTCAAACACTCCAAATATTAGGCTATAAATATGTTTGTAATCAAACTCATTGTACACATTCGGATACGAAATAAAAGCAGAAACTTTTGAGCAAAACCACGAGCATTATCCAGGCAAATACACGCATCAGTTTACAATAGAAAACGCAAATAAGGTCCGAACACTTGTAGACCATTTCGAAAGAGAAAATAAAGAGGTATATTTTTTTCATTTTTTACCTTTCGTCTCGGTTGGCCTTCCTTGTATGCGTATCAATGTTG